AGAACTGCTTAGAGTGATGCCACATGCATCTACAGTTCAGATCTCACTGTCCAAGTGTGAGTGTGAACAAGGGTGAGCCTTGGTTTCAGACAACACATGCAGAGATGACTTTGCTCTTCCAAGTCCTAACAATACATCTTCCCCTTTTCTACTGATTTCATTTCACTGCTCTGACTCCCTGCCTTTTCTCTCACCTACCCACTGTTGCCCGACCTGCACTCCCCTCACTGGGACAGCATCATGCACACCGTCTGCCCAACAAAGACTCCTCTGGGCTGGGGAGATGGCTCAGTAGGATAAGTGCTTGACTGGCAAATGCAAGGATCTGAGTTCAATCCTCGGTTCCAACAAAAGAAAAAGAAAAAAAGACTCCTCCATCAATCTCAGCATGAACAGACCCCCGCTTTAGAGTTGTGCCCCAGTCCTTTCCCACAGCTTCCTCCACCCCACCCGCAGATCATGTCCTGCATCTGGGCGCTGTGGATCCACAGGCTGCTCCCCACGTAACCAAGTTTCCTCCAAGCTGACACATGCTCCCTTTGTCTCTGCACCTGCAGCATGTGACACAGTACCTCCCACGCTGAACACCTCATGTTTACATTTACTAAATAAATAAAATAATCAGTGCAATTAACTTGTACTGACGAGTGCTGCTTTAATAAAAGGCAAGAAGGATGAAGAAGAAAATTAGATGCCAGCTTGCTTCCTTCTACCGGGAAGCTGGCCAAGGACATCTATTCCTCAAAATAATTTAGCTTGAGAGAAAAGCGTCCAGAGGACTAAATGTGAGGAAGCAGCCACACTGAGCATTTTCTTCCCCACCTACTGTTCATACCCAATCCCAGTACTCCTCCCTGAATCTACTCACTTTAAAAAAGTCTTATATTCAGAGATAGGGCATGGTGGCACACGCCTGTAATCCTAGCACTTGGGAGGCTGAGAACAAGAGGATCACTACGAGTCCGATCTGTGTAGTGAGACCCTACAGACACTGTACTAAATATAAATAATAAAAAAGTAAATAATAAAAAAGTCTTATATTCAGATGTTCATCTGGGAACCAAGGTTTAGTACAAGAATGAATCTCACACCAAGAAGGAATTGACTTTCTGGAAGAGCATACCTCAGTGTTGATGGAAGGAGCAATGTCTGCCTGAGTACAAGGAGTTTCTTCTACCTCATGTCATCAGTTTCCACAGTAGCCCCTAGATGCCCGAGGAAATAGTCCTGTAGTCTTGGTGCAGGTGAGAGCAGAATTCTATGCTGACAATACTGGAAGAAGACAGCTGACGTGTGAGCCTTGATTTGTGTGCTGCACGTAAAGCTGATTAGAAGACAAGTCTCCCTGTGTTCTCAATTTGTTTTCTCATATGTATTCAAAAGATGGGATACACAAGGATCACATACAACCATCTCCTGCTGAACTACAGGAAGGGGGCACTAGTCGTGGTCTACCAGAACCTCCTAGTACATGGTGACTACAGCACACATCATACAAACCTTCTCTCTTGTCAGAAATTCCTTTAGCCTCCTTGATTTTAGCAGTTTGGAACATGTCTACAAGCAAGGTTCACACAATTGTCATCTGCGAAGCAGGTAAGAGGTTCCCCTTCTGAATCGGATAATCAAGGAGCCATTGCTGCCCTCGCAGCCAAACACTGCGCACAGCAATCAGGCGTCTTCAGCGAGAACAGTTTCCAGCAGCTGAAGTCAAGAGGGTGAGATCAGTAAGAAGCAGAAAATCAGGATCCTCCTTGTGGGCCACAGGATTAAAATTTAAAGCCCCTGATGGATGAGAAGTCTGAAAATCATCCTACAAAGAGGAGGGAAATGCTCAGGCAGCTGTCATGGAAATACAAATATTCTAAAAATCGCAAAAACCTATGGTCCTGCCACTACTGTTTGTGAAGATTTTCCTTTCCTTAAAATTATATCTAAATTTGGTTTAGTCTTCAAGAAGGGATACCTCTATAATATGACTCATGGGGTTTAAGGTACATATGGCTTAAGTTTTAAAGACATTTTCATTTAAGAAAAATAGGTAATTATAGTGGTAATTATAGGTTTTTCTCAGGGGGATCCTGAGCGTCTGCCAAGTTGCATGTGTTTAACCACACCTGGGGAACAGTGGCTGTCTTCCAGATCTAAATGCTCTGCTCCTTAAGTGTCCAAATCTGGGAAAGGAAATCACAGGCCATCCTACACGCAGATCTAGTAGAGGCAGTCATTCTCTCTCTCTGTCTCTGTCTCTATCTCTGCCTCTCTCTCAAAAATCAAACCCATTTCTCTCCCTCTTTCCTATAGCCATTCTGTTCTAGAAAGCACAAAAACAAGTAAGTCTTGATGTTTCTGTTTCTTAATGATGGGAAACAAAAATTTCAGTATTGTACAATAGTAGACTAATTGTTTTTACTGAATTCATTCATCATTTCAGTTAAAGAAAATAAATCTTCCCAATTCTCCAACTGCTTGGCTTATAAGACCACTTAAGTCCCTAATTTTTTTTAAAAAATGTATTTGGTACAGGGTCTCACTATGCAGTTTGGACCCATAGTGATCCTCCTGTTTTCAGCTTCCCCAGTGCTAGGATTACAGGTGTGCACCACCACGCCAGGTCTCAGTGGCCAGCTCAGGGTGCCTGGGGGCAGGGCAGGTGTGTCATGGGGTGCCAGGGATTGAACCCCAGTCGCTTTGATTGCCTATGTAGGCACATAGTCTGCTGAGCTATCTTGCCAGCTCTAGTCCTTAAATTCTTAAGAGAAAGTCACCAAGGTAACTATGCAGACATGACTAACATGAGGACTCAGATGCTACTTTTCCAAGTTGCAAATTTCTTCAGCACACCATAGTTTGTCTTTAATACAGTTAAACTCAGATATACCCAATGTACCCCGGCTAAGTTATTCTCTTTGGGAGCCCAGTAGAAGAAATGTCCCTTCTAGATGCACTGACCTGAAAGCCACATGCTGAAAGGAGTGTCCCAGGCAAACTTGCCTCTGAGAACTTCATCAACTATGAAGTTCTTCCTTCAGAGTATAGGAAGAATCAAAAAAAAAAAAAAAACTTAGGGACATGTGAAAACAAAAGAATAACAGGTCTCATGAAGCCATTTGAAAGTAGACACATAAGGGCTGGCCAAATAGCTCAGTGGATTAAAGCACCTACAAGCAGGCACAGGAGCTGGGAGTTCAATCCCTGGGCCTGCCGTGCCAGCCCCGCCCCCGGGGCACACTCAGGCAGTGATTGAGACTGGGTGTGGTGGTGTGTACCTGTAATCCCAGCTCTTGGGAGGCTATAAACAGGCGGATCACTACAAGTCCAATCTAGCAATGAGATCCTGAGCACCCTGTAGGCCCTTCCCTAAAATACAGGAGAAAAGAAAAGAAAGAAAGAAAGTAGACACATAAACACAGGAACAGAGCCTGGTGGGGAGAAAGGGACGTGCCATCATGGAGGGACAGCTGTTCGCTGCATGCCATTTCCTCTTCAGTGCCAACACCATAACCACATGGCAAACACCAAATCAAGTGGAAGCTTTCCCCAACAATGTCCATGTCAACAACCAGTGATGATTCGACAATTGCACTTCCAGCATAGGGGATGTGGAGATGTGTCTCCTGGTGTGTCTTACCAATTCCTAGGACAATCACAGACTTCCAGGAAGGGAATGCTATTTCAGGTTTTCTAAAGTCACTATCAAATACCCAGGAATTCACCAACAGAGTACTTTGATTTCCAATTATATCACAAATGAAAATGCCCACTGTCTCAATACATAAAATTGGGCTCTTTGTGTTTAACTCAAGTAATAGAGGCCTAGAACCATGAGTTTGTTCAATTAGTCATAAATATTTAAGGAGTTTCCATTGTGTGCTAGGAATTATATTGAAAATAAAAACAGGAAAAAGAAATAACTCTTATCCTTGGGAAGCTTACAGTAAAAAAAAAAAAATGAGAATTTAATGTGATGATTGTATAACATGGATTTTTTTGTTAGATATTATTGGACCATAAAGCAAGAATTAATGACTCTCCATGGGAACTGAGAAAGTCTTCCCAAAATAAACAAAGTTTACTTTAGTCCTTAGGATGAAAACAGACTTTCTAAGTTAAAAAAAGGAGCTATAGATCACAACAAGCATATGGCACCTGGGGAAACTAAGTTGTATTATTTACTG